AAGGCTGCACATTTGTAGGAAACAAATCATCAGTGAAAAAAAAAACCCACTGGTGAACTTTCACATTTTAATTATTTGTACATTGAAATTAGTCTACTAAAGATATAGGGGAGCCATGGGGCTAATATTGTCACATGGGGAAGTTGTCAGAAGGGTTTATATAGGCTACTGTAGCTCAGTAACTAAAGTTTTAAAAACAAAAGTCCAATTATACAAATGCTGTTTTTGTATGTTGGTTTCAAACACGACAGCTGTCTTAACTGTAGGATCATTTATGTGAATTCTGACCCTGACATCCAAACAAATACAAATGTAGGAAGCCTGTTTCCGCCACTGAATAAACAAAAAGTAATTGCGACTTTATATCTCACAATTATATATAATTGTATATAAGACATAAACTCGCAATTGCGAGAACAAAGTCTTTATAACTCGCCATTTTGAGTTTAGCCTATATTATATCATATAGGCCTAGGCTATCAATTCTGAGAAATGAAGTCATGAAGAAAATGAAGAGTTTATATCTTGCAATTCTGATTTCATTTCTCAGAATTGTATCTCACAATTCTGAAAAAAGTCACAATTGCTAGTTTGTATTATGCAATTCTGAGAAGAATGTCAGAATTGTGAGTTAAAAGCTCGCAATTACCCTTTTTTTATTATTCAGTGGCAGAAACGGGCACATAATATTGTGACACACTCAACACACGCTCAAAACTGTGGAGATGACCGTGGACTTCAGGAGAAACCCCCCTGCACTCCCCCCACTCACCATCATGGACAGCACTGTGACTGCAGTGGAGTCATTCAGATTCCTGGGCACCACAATCTCTCAGGACCTGAAGTGGGACTCTCACATTGACTCCATTGTTAAAAAGCCCCAGCAGAGGTTGTACTTCCTTCGCCAGCTGAGGAAGTTCAACCTGCCACAGGAGCTGCTGAAACAGTTCTACTCTGCTATCATTGAATCCATCCTCTGCACTTCAATAACTGTCTGGTTCAGCTCAGCTACCAAATCTGACCTCAGAAGACTTCAGAGGGTAGTCCGGACTGCTGAGCGAATCATTGGTACAACCCTCCCTTCTCTCCAAGAACTGTACTCGTCCAGAGTGAGCAAAAGGGCTGGCAGAATCACTCTGGACCCCTCACATCCAGCACACTCCCTCTTTGAACTGTTGCCATCTGGTCGACGCTACAGAGCTCTGAGCACCAGAACAACCAGACACAGGAACAGTTTCTTCCCTCAGGCCATCCATCTCATGAACACTTGACAATAACTGTGGAACACACACTATTTATTCACTAATACATTTATTTATCTAACACACACACTCAGTCTACATTTCAATTTGCACATAATATACCTGTACATACAACTGTCTATTGTTATATACCTGTACATACAATTGTCGATTTGTATATTTTTATTCCTTAGTTACTTGTTCTATTTTTCTATTTTTTATTATCTGTGTTTTTGTTCTGTCACTGTCATTCTGTTACACTGTGGAACTTCTGTCATGAAAACAAATTCCTCGTATGTGCAAACATACCTGGCAATAAAAACTCATTCTCATTCTCATTTTTATATCGGCAGCTATCAACACTGCATTAACGAAGCCCAGAAAGTAAAGGTGAGTGTCCTGCAAATCAATATTGTTCGTGAGACGAAAACATTTCCTCAGGAGTTTTAGGTTCTAGAGTATGTCTGTTAGCTAGCGTCTAATACATTATAGCTGCTATACATCACGTACCTGTTTAAAGACTGTAATTAACAAATGACAAACAACCACATCTAATTGTTTTATATTTCTTTTAGACGTCAAGTCCAGAAAAGGATGTTGAGAAGAACATTTTTCTGTACAGGGCATATATTGCTCAGGTAAGTTCATCAGTCTGTTGTGTTGTTTTGATATTGTTCGGAATAAACACCCAAACGAATTAATATTTCTATGTAACTGTCAGCTACAATGCATCCCCCCCACCCCTCCCCCTCTATCAATGAAGATACACAACTGTTTCCCTTTAGAACAACAAAGACAGTAAAGAATGTCCATTTTATATCAAATTGATTAGTGCTGGTAAATGGTGATCAATAAGTAGGTGGTTAACTGATGGTTTCTGTCTTAGAGGAAGTATGGTGTGGTACTGGATGACATAAAGTCCAGCTCCTCTGAGGAGCTGCAGGCTGTCAGGATGTTTGCAGAGTACCTCTCCAATGAAGGCAAGAGGTTTGTGCAATCTTACTTTTTGTTTGTTTTCATTATTTCAAACCGTATATAATAAAAAATGTAGAAACGTACGCACTAGCCATTTGTTCTGTCATTAAAGGAATCCAGGGTTTCCGTGGGTCTTAAAAAGTTCTTGAAAAGTCTTAATTCTCCCTTCCGCAAATTCAAAAGGTCTCACATAAAGTCGTGGCATTAAATGTTACACAGACTACGAAAAAAATGAATCTTTCTTGGTGATTTTGTTTTGTTTTCCAATACAAATATCTAAACATCAAGATACATTTTCTTGAGGTGCAAAATGAAGATATGAAGTCTTGTTGAAATTAAGTGAACCTATGAGTAAAGCAACAACAAATATGTTGTCTCGTTTCATTTTGATTCAGAAAACAAAACTTATGTCATTTTGCTTCTCAAATAAATGTATCTTTATATAATTTTTTTTTAGACGTTTGTACTGGAAAGCAAGACTAAATACTGTGGAAGAACATCACTTTTTTGCAGGTACACAGTATTTACACAGTATATTGTATATAGCAATGGAGATCTGTTGGAAGTTGTATGCATTAAAGGTCCCATGGCATGAAAATGTCACTTTATGAGGTTTTTTAACATTAAAATGAGTTCCCCTAGCCTGCCTATGGTCCCCCAGTGGCTAGAAATGGCGATAGGTGTAAACCGAGCCCTGGGTATCCTGCTTCGCCTTTGAGAAAATGAAAGCTCAGATGGCCCAATCTGAAATCTTCCCTTTATGTCGTCATACGGGGAAAGGTTACCTTCCCTTTCTCTGCTTTGCCCCCTGCCCAGAGAATTTGGCCCACCTATGAGAAAATGAGCTACTACCGTGCGAGGTGAGCGCAATATTTTTTTTCCCTCTAGAGACATCATGGCTTGCTCATTGTGGGACTGGCTCGTAGTGGCTGAAATTCTGTACCAAAGCTGAATTTCGGGAAAGAGACTAAAGATACAGTACTAGGGACCACTTAGGCCTATAAAAAAGCATCTAAAAACCAGCATGTCATGGGACCTTTAAACTTAGTGATGCTAATGCAACTTATTGTGGGCTCCCTAGACATTTACCATTTGAGAACATATTGACCTAAATTTACCTGGCTTTTGTAAAAACGGATTCATGTATCTTATGGCCCAATACTTTTCTTAGGGATGCAATAGTGGCAGAACTGGACAAAAAGATGGCCAAGAGTGTTGATGTTTCCAACACGACCTTCCTGTTGATGGCGGCTTCCATCTATCTGCATGAGATGAACACAGATGCTGCATTACGTACCCTGCACCAGGGAGACAGTCTGGAGTGGTGAGTTTCTGGAGACTTTCTGGTAGTTTAAAAAAATAGTTGATTTAATCTAACACAAGTTGGATTACAAGTCCATAAATTGCTCATTGTCATTTTGTATTTCTCTTATAGCATGTCCATGACTGTCCAGATACTTCTGAAGTTGGACAGAGTTGATATGGCAAGGTATTTATTTATTTATTTATTTATCCATTCTTTAAAATTATTATTTAGTTTTGTATGTGTGTACAAAAGGTATATGTATATGTTTTATTTAAAAAAGCATATATTTGACAAAATATGTAGCTTAACTTCAATATTTTGCTACAAATACAAAAATTAAACCTGCTTTTAGTTAATGGCTTTAAATGTATTATTTTCATTGATCTGTTGTGTTGCTCATTGCCTCCACAGAAAGGAATTAAAGAAGATGCAAGACCAAGATGAAGATGCCACTCTGACCCAGCTTGCTACAGCCTGGGTCAACCTTGCAGTTGTGAGTATTGAAGTAAACATGAAAAATAATATTCTTGGATGTTCCTTGTCTAAAGGCTGTTAGTGGGCTGGCAGCCATCGATGAGCGTCTGTTAGCCCAGTTTTTGCAGATTGTTCTGCATCGTTTGCACTAGTTGGACCACCTTCAGTGGCTTTTTGTTCAACTGAGCATGTTGAAATTAAGTCGGAGACTTTGGTTGTGAGAGATCATTCTTATTGGCTGTTCAGCTTAGCCAACCAGTGCATGAGAAAAAAAACGAAAATGTCAAAATTCAAGAAGGCACACATAGAAGAGTGTTCACATTTTACCTGAGCATATGCAAATATTTTCATAGTGACATGGATATCGGTGATGTAAGCAACCGAAGACCAACTGATCAACACGATTCACATTTAAAATAGTATGCAAGTTCTGCTTTGTTTTACGGTTTGTATATCTGCAATCCTATTTCTGGTTTAATTTTTTTTGAAGATGAATACAGACTAAGGCCACCTGTTGGTGTGAAATGTTGTTTACTCTGATGCAGATTCAGAAAGTATGGGCATGTCCCAATACCCACACTTAGTCTTTGCACTTGAGCACTTGTCTACTTACATGACATATTTCCTGCGCGTGTAAAACTTTTACTTATCCAGTGGGACATACTTACAACATAGCAGTTGTAAAAATTTAAGTAGTTTTTACAGAGCCTTATTTACACATTTTGTACATTTAATACATTGCACTTCAAAATAAACTTTTAAATGTCTGTTCAGAAGTCCTTCTAACAGATGACAATTTAATAATTGTGATGCTTGTAATTAAGTGATACAATCATTGGTAAATGATGTCCAAAATACACATACTCCTGCTTTTACTACCAAATTATATTTCATATCTAATTAATTTAACTTACTTAATTACAGTTACATTTAACTGGAATGTTTTCCTCAACATCTCATGATTTTGGGGCATGTGCTTTCCTGAACATGATGCGTGATGGGCATGGGCAACATTTAACTGCAAGATGCAAAAAAAATTCTACAAAAATGTCTTTCTCAAAAATGTAATTACGGATATAAGTATCAAAACAATGTCCTACTTTCAGGGATGCAAACTTGTCACCTTTTGGTGAAATTCACCGTTGTGAATTCAGAATGGGTAATTTGTATGATTCGTGTGGATTTAGAATAGTTCCTGTATTTGGCACAAGTGTTCAAGTGGGCGTGTAAAACTTTTACTTATCCAGTGGGACATACTTACAACACAGCAGTTGTAAAAATTTAAGTAGTTTTTACAGAGCCTTATTTACACATTTTGTACATTTAATACATTGCACTTCAAAATAAACTTTTAAATGTCTGTTCAGAAGTCCTTCTAACAGATGACAATTCAATAATTGTGATGCTTGTAATTAAGTGATACAATCATTGGTAAATGATGTCCAAAATACACATACTCCTGCTTTTACTACCAAATTATATTTCATATCTAATTAATTTAACTTACTTAATTACAGTTACATTTAACTGGAATGTTTTCCTCAACATCTCACGATTTTGGGGCATGTGCTTTCCTGAACATGATGCGTGATGGGCATGGGCAACATTTAACTGCAAGATGCAAAAAAAATTCTACAAAAATGTCTTTCTCAAAAATGTAATTACGGATATAAGTATCAAAACAATGTCCTACTTTCAGGGATGCAAACTTGTCACCTTTTGGTGAAATTCACCGTTGTGAATTCAGAATGGGTAATTTGTATGATTCGTGTGGATTTTGAATAGTTCCTGGTTGGGTTTTTTTTCACCCTTTTTACCCTTGGTGAGTTTGCATACCTGTACTTTATTGCACAGCATTAAAAGCAGTCAATACAGCACCGTCAAGAATAACTTAAAGAGGTTGCCAACGTTTAATAAACTGTGGACTAGCTTTTTTTATTCTTGCTGCTGATTTAAATGGCGATACTTCCCGTTTTAATTGTCTGTTGATGGCCTTTCATTTTTAACCAGAAATGTGCACACTGCTTTTCTGATGAAAAATGATGAAATTTTCTGTCATTTTTCCAGTTGTCAAATCCAGTCACTTGACATGTGTCCATTTTGGACTTATTGACATCAAATGCGAGACAAAAAAAACCCTGATCAGTTGTGGGACTATATTCAAGCCAGTCATAACCTTTATCTTCTATAGGACAGCAGCCACCCGGAGACACTCATCAACCTCATTGTGTTGACACAGCATTTGGGCAAACCTCCTGAGGTGAACTTTCTAAACATAAATGTTCTCAGTACAGTCAGCTACAGAAGCAGTGTGGATGTTAACATGTTAAAGTTCCCATTAAAGTCAAAATTAAAGTTTTTTTGGGTGTTAGTATCAATATGTTAGTCTTAAGGTTATCTATAAGGCAGTGTGCTCCAAAACAGTGACAAAATTCGCAT